CAAAGAAATGAACCCAAACTCTCTTTCTTTTTAAAAACTGCTTTCTTCTTCTTTTAAAATGTGCATTGACGCTTTGTCTGCATGTATGTCTGTGTGAGCATGTTGGTCCCCTAGGAACTGAGGTTACAGATGGTTGTGAGCTACCATGTGAGTTGGGACTTGAACCTGGGTTCTCTGGAAGACCACTTTGTGGTCTTAACTGCTGGGTCATCTCTCCAGTCCCTTAACCAACTCTACCTTAACCAACTCTATGTCAAAGAAACCCTAAGTCACATTGAAGGGAAGAGAAGTACACTACCCTGAGGACTTACCTGACCATGGTATCTGTCAGTTGAGGACAAAAGAGTTGTAAATGAGTACTGAAGTCTAGCTCTAACATTTTCTTTTTTGAAATGGCGAGTTAACAATTCTGAAAACACTTTCTATGTGTTGCACGTGACTAAATACGCTGAGGACAGTGGAGGCCAGCTTCACACTGTAAGAAGGAGAGCATAGTTAGGAGAGGGAGGACACCAGAACACAATCTGTTTGACTGAAATGCATGTTGATGTGTTTCAATATGTGGATTTAGATGTCCGTATGTATGCACACGTCAACTGCAAGAGCCAAAAGCAGAGACACATTGGTACCAGAGGATGCACCCAAGGCCTGGGTCTAAATCCAAAGCAAGGAAATGCTCAAAACTGGTGGAGATATAGGGAAGGAATGTGTGCATTCTCGTGCGTGCATGCGTGCGTGTGTATGTGTGTGTGCACGCGCGTGTGCGTGCGTGTGTATGAGTGTGTGTGTGTGTGTGTGTGTGTGGTCTCTCTCTGTGTGTATATTTATAGACTGTATAGGGAAGGAGGGCTGGGTGTGTTGCTCGGTGATAGAGCTCTTGTCTGGCACACAGTGGCGGGCCCCCAGAGCTCCCTGGCCAGTTAGTCTAGCCAGTCATCGAGCCAGTTCAGTGAAAGATCCTGTTTTAAAAGATGGAGGGCTGTACAGAAGGGAGACACACCTGAAACCCCCCCCCCCAAAAAAACATTATTGGGATAAAGCACAAAATCTGAGAATGGTGTACTGGCCCAAAGAAATACCTAAGTGCAAACAACTCAGTAAGTATCTATACTCTAATAATTTAGTAGCCACCCAGAAGCTAGTACGTGAACAGAAGCAGCACTCCCTGAGCACGGCCTGAAACTCGGCTCCAATATGACATACACAAGGGATGTGGCGCCATCTACTGTTGGGATTGCAAACAGCACCAAAGCTGCTTTTTCGCTTTGTTTTTGTATTCATCTTGTTTGCCTTGAAAAATTGGAACCTTACAACTATGCCTCTGTAAATTCACTGTGGGACTGTGGAGATCTCAAAGTAGTTTGAGACTCGTGAGGCCATATATTAATGCTGTTTAAATGTTGTCTTGCCTGATTTTAAAAATCCTTTGACATTTTATTTTGTGAGCATGTGTGTGTCATGTATGTGAGTGCCTATACCACAGCACTTGTGTGGAGGTCCAGGACAACTTGTGGGAGTTGGCTCTCCCCTTCCACCTTGTGGATCCTGGGGATCAAGCTCATGTTGCCAGGTTTGGCAGCAGATGCCATGATCCACTTTGGCATCTTAATGGTTCTGTATTGCCTAATTTTGATATATGTATTACTGCTATGTACTGCTGTGTTCTTAGAAATATTGGAGTATTTATGGATTTAAAAATTTTGCAAATTAATTTCAAATGACTGAGAAAATGTGCATGCAGATATGTATAAATAGGGAACACAACCTGTATAGCAAATGGGTTGAGATGCTTAACAACTTTTCTTAATTAAATTATTTAAAAATAATATTTATTTATTTATTTTTGAAACAGGGTTTCTCTGTGTAGCCCTGGCTGTCCCCGGAACTTGCTCTGTAGATCAGGCTGGCTTTGAACTCACAGAGCCATGTGCTGGGATTACAGGCGTGTACCACCACCACCCTGCTCAAAATAATTTCAGAGAGGAAATGCAACACTGAATCTTAGGTTGCATAAAATGTGCATTTAAGCATTTATAAGGTCTGTAAATGGAAAGCACAGGCTTTTGTAGAGGAGGCAGAGGAGGAGGAGGAGGAGAAGGAGGAGGAGGAGGAGGAGGAGGAGGTAAGGATTGTGAAAGACACACACAGTGATAGTGAGGTTTTACTTTCTTATCTGGGCAGCAGACACTCGAGTATTCATCTTTTCCCTCCCTCCCCCCCTCCCTCCCCCCTCCCTCCATTCTCTGTCTCTCTTTCTTTCTTTCTTTCTTTCTTTCTTTCTTTCTTTCTTTCTTTAAGACAGGGTATCACCATTTAGCCCTGGCTGTCCTGGAACTCACTATGTAGACCAAGTTGGCCTTGAACTCACAGAGATCCACTCGCCTCTGCTTCATAAGTGCTGGAATTAAAGACCTGTGCCACCTCACCAGGAACCATTCGTTATTTTTCAAGACAAGGTCAGGATCTTAACAAGGGACCAGGCCAGCCTCAAACCCAGAGAGATCTGCCTGCCTCAAGGTATGTGCAACCATGCCCAGCTCATTATTATACCTTTAAATATGTCCAAATATTTCAAATTTCAGATCCCTGGCACCACGTAGAAGCAGATGTGGCGGTGATATCTGCAATCCTAGAACTCAGGAGGGGGGAGGAAGGCAGGCTGGATGTGCAGGGCCATCTTCAGCCGCGGCTGACCTGTGTTACATGAGACTGTATCTCAAGAAACAACTAGTAGACTCTCTATTACTATAGAGAAACAAGACACACTTAAGCAGACAGCTACTGAGAGACCCCCAGGCACAATGGCCCCCGTCTGTAACTTCAGATTCCATATCCATGCATGGAACAATTTACAGGTTGAAAACATGTATGGGAAAAAAGAATGCACTGTACTGAACACAAACTTTTTTTCTTGTCTATATGGCACAACAATGGTTTAGACAGCATTTACATTGCATTATTTATTATCAATAATCTAGAGGCAATTTAAATTGTATGAAGGAACACTCTTAGACTGTATGCAAATTCTGTGCCATTTACATTAGGCACTGGAGATTCATAGATTTACATAACTACATGGGTCCTGGAGCCAAGTCCCCCAGTCATGACTGTGCTCACTCATCATCTCCTACAGCCCTTCCCATGGCCACATGCTACACGTCAATCATCAGAAAAAGTTGTATCTTTTTTTTAAGCATTCAATATTTTAGATTAAACATGCTCGAAAACTGACCTAAGCAACTATTGACAACTGTAGCCTTCATTCTGCCTTCCCAAACACGTTTTAGGATGTTTAAAGCCTGTGGTGGCACAAGCAATACCACCGTCACCTTTATGATCACTGAGAAACTGGCAGCCATCTTTCCCCAGGCCACTGGGTAACCATTTGTCAAGTTCCGTTTACATCTGTAGCTGGAGTCATTGATGAAAGACTGTGTCTGCCAGACAGACTTTCATCCAAACAGTTGCTGTCTGCATCTCTGAGAAGAACAAGCCACCGTAGAATTTATGATTCTACCTCATCTTGTCAGCTAAGGCAAAAGAGAACGGATGCTGTGTGTTCAGAGTGGATGTCAGTGGTGGTCAGAGGAGGCACCCGAAGAGAGTAAAGGTATAATCATACATCTTCATGGAGCTGAGCAAAAATGCAAGAAACATCCAACCTGACCTTTCCTCCCGAGAACGGGACCATTAGACCTATGGAAAACAGGAGCAAACTGAGACCCCTGCCTTTACTCCAAAAGGCAACTGTTTTTCCACGAGGCTTCTCTAAGATCCTTTTCCAGAACCACAGTCTGATGCTCACTTCTCATCTCTTGACATCACCTTCCTATATGAGCAAAAAAGACCTTGCCGGTGGTCCTCTGCCCTGAAGGCTGTCTGCAGATTGAAACAACAGTCCATTAAAAGTAACCAGGAACGGGAGGGTAGTGGAAGACAACGATTATGTATTAAATATGTAGAGCGCATGCGTGCGTGCGTGTGCGTGTATGTGTGTGTGTGTGTGTTTCCTTAAAGGGAAACAACATAGAATGACAACTATTTACATAATAGCTACATATTAGCATTTACCTTGTATTGGGTAGTTATGCTGGCTAGTCTTATGGTAACTTGACATAAACTAAAGTCCTTTCAGAGGAGGGAGACTCAGTTAAGAGAATGCCTCCATAACATCAGATTGTGGGCATTTTCTTAATTAGAGATTGATGAGGCAGGGCCCAGCCCATAGTGGGTGGTGCCATTCCTGGTCCTGGATTCTATAAGAAAGCAGGCTGGGCAAGCCAGGAGGGGCAAGTCAGTACACAGAACTCTTCCATGGCCTCTGGCATCAGCTCCTGCTTCCAAGTTCCTGCCCTAATTTCCTTTGATGACGACCAGTGATGCGGAAGTGTGAGGCAAGTTACACCCGAGTTGCTTTGGCCATGGTATATCTTCTCAGCAATAGTGACCCAAAGACAGTAAGTAGTACAAGTAACGAAAAGGTGATTTAAAGGAGGCTGGGGATGTGCATATGGCTACCTAAAGATTACGTATTTTTGTTTGTCTGAAACAGATTGTAGTAGATAGCCCCACTGGCATTTGAACACACAAGAGATCCGCTTGCCTCTGCCTCCCGGGATCAAAGCGTTTGTCTGGAAACTCTGCTAATTTTACACCATCTCTATGTGGCTGGGACGGCCGCAGAATCTATTCCGACCCTGGGGTCAGCGTCCTGCAGAAACTAAGGGGTCACTGTATTGATGGCGAGAGAAAAAAGGGCCGTGGTTTGCTTAGAATTTTTTGGCGTGACTGGGCCTTACACTAAATTTCAGAAACTCCCCGTGACAGTCACTCTGTTTTTGCCACTAAGTGCGTGAGAACCCTGGGGCCAAGCAAAGAAGCCCTGGTCTCCTGCATGCGCCTGCGACGCACTGGCCCACCTGGACCCCAAGCCCCAGTCCTTCCCAGCCCCGCAGTGACGTCACGGCGCGCTGTCATCGCGAGACTCGGCTCGCCCACCGCGGCTCGCCGCTTCCCAACCGCCCGCGTCCGTCCGCGGCCAGGCAGCGGTGGGGATGGCGAGCCGCGGAGCCAGGGCGGTGACGAGCGCGGCGGCTCCGCCATTGGGCAAGGAGGCCTGAGGGACGGGCTGGCTGGGTGCATCAGGACCCCGGAGCCGGCAGCCTCGGCAGAGCCAGGGCGATGGAGGCCAACGTGCCGAAGCGGAAGGAGCCCGCTAGGTCCCTCCGCATCAAAGTCATCTCCATGGGCAACGCCGAAGTGGGGAAAGTGAGTATCGCAGGCTGCGAGGGGCGGGACCTCCGCGCGCCAGAGAGTCGTGCCCATTGCCTGAGAGAGATGCCACTCAACAGCCTGAAGCCCCGCCTCTTCCCTACTCGCCAAGCATCCCTGCGCTCACGCGAGCTTGCGGTCTCGAGCGGAGAACTATCTTGACCTTTTTGACCTTTGGGTTGCCCGCTCTTTACTGACGTCACTGCATAAGACCGTGCCTGGGGTGGCCTCTGACCTTTCACTAATTTGAAGGTGGTGTGGAGGCCTAGGTCCCAAATTTATACCTTTGATACCAAATTTGCTTTCCCAGAGCGGGGTCCAAGACGTGCAGGTGGGGAGAGTCCGTGCCTCCAAGCTGTGGCTCTTAAAGGGATGCCTGTGAGGTGACAGATTAGGAAAATTGTCGCCGGGCAGAGAACATAACAGCCCAGTGTGTTTCAGGGGACGTGCACTGGCCGCCAGGGATCCTGCGCTGTTTTTGTTTTAAATTTCTCCTACTGTCACGTCCATTTTCTCAGCCATTTATCTATCTATCTAACTATCTATCTATCTATCTATCTATCTATCTATCTATCTATCTATCATCTATGGTACGGTCTTTGTGTGTGCTCCACCTGCTGAATATTAGCTATTAAACTTCCTCTCCGATGGGCAGCGGTGACCTAAGTCTTTTCCCAAATAAATTTAGATGCCTATTCTTACTCAAGTTTTCTCCTTAACGAGCGGAAGCTGTTGGTTACGAATCCCAAGGTCGGCAAATCAGTGACAGGGAGGGGCATTACAAGTGGAGTCTACAATCTTCCAAATGCAGAAGACCCGCTAATGGGATTATTTAAACCAGTGTGCTGCACTTAAATGTTCAGTGAATATTTATTAGTGTTTTACTATTTTGCTCCACCCCACTACTTATGTATTGTTGTGTATGTGGTAACAAAGTGTTCGCTGGAATTTAACGTTTATTAACTATGTTCCAACTCTTAAAGAGCATAGAGAGTTGGGAATATAGCTCAGTTGGTGCTGTGGAAACATGGAAAACAGTTCTATACTTCTAACCCCTGCAAAAACCTGGTAGTGGCACAGGCTTCTAATCCCAGTGATGGGCAGGCAGAAACAGGTGGGTCCCAGGGCCACTGACCAGCCAGCCTAGCCTAGTCAGCAAGTCCCAGGTCCCAAGAGAGACCTTGTCTCAAAAAGAAAGACATCCTTACACTTCATTAAAACTCCCCTTTCTGCCTAAAATTTGGCTTTCTGTGTAGATAGAAGCTGTACAGTTTTGAAAAATGTGCTTAATTAAATAAAATTGTAACCATCATTTTTAATCACTACTATTTTTTAAAATATGCTGTAGAAATTAACATAGTATATAAAATGACACGAGGCCAATGATGTGTGAGCATGTTAGCTAATTTCAGATCCTAGGACACTGAAAGCTGGCATGGGGCTTTGGGGTACATTGATTTTCAATGTAAGAACTCGAACTGAATATAAACAAGGGTCACAGAGAAATCTCAAGTTTCCCACATAGAAAGGGATAAGCCTTGGGGTTAGGGGTGGGCTGCTGTAAAAGCCCTTACTATGTAGGCCTGGTGACCTCATTCGGTCATGGTGGAAGGAGAGAACCTTTATCCAAATTTCTAAAAGTCAAATTGGAGGGGAAAATATTGTAAATAACCTTATAACCATAAAAATTCTTGAGTTAACAAAGCCTTTATGAGGGCTGGAGAGAGAGTTCAGCTGTGAAGGGTGCTCGCTACTGATGCAGAGGACCAGCATTCAGTTTCCAGCACCTGTGTCGGGCGGGGTGACTCATGGCTGCCTGTATCCCAGCTCCAGGGGGCCTAACCCCCTCTTGTGTATTCCACTGGCACCTGCACTCACATGGGTATATATCCACAGACATACACACACAATTAAAAATAAAATTTAAACTTAAGACAAAAGCTTTCATGTGATATAACTCACATAGAAATCACTTATTTAAAACATACAGCTCCCTGATTTTCAGTTCATTCACAATTGTGAAACCATTACTACGATCAATTGTAGAACATTTTCATCATCCCCTAGGGGGCAGAGGAATGACATAGCAATTAACAGGCTCTCCCTGTTTCCCCTAACCATTAACCCACTTCCTGCCTCTATGGATTTGCCTATTCTGGCTACTTCATATGAATGGAGTCACATACTTTGTAATCTTTTACTACAAACTTATTTCACTTAGTATAATTTGTATAATGGGAATCTTGGTTGTGATATATATCAGTATGTTCTTCATATCATAGAAATATATTCCATCTTTTGGATCTAATACATTTTATTCACCCATTTGGGTTGATTTTGTTTTTGGATATTGGTACTAAGAATGATGGCAATGTAGACTTGGGCCTTGAATCAAATATGGCTTTGATAATTTGATCCTTTGTCACTGGGGAAATGGTGGCATGCCTAACAGAGCTGGATGTCAGCAGGACAGGCTGTTTGGAGACATGTTGAGTTAGGTGATGGCAGGATGTTTGAGTGGAAGCCATCTAGCAGATGCTCAGACACTTGGATCTGGCCCTGGGAGGCAGTCAAGGCTGGGTGTGGATGTTTCAGTGGTGACAGGGGAAGGATGGGGAGGTCTGCAGAGCACACACAGTGGTTGGGACTAAAACTGAAAACGCCTGTATTTAGTATGAAGGCAAGAGTTAAACCTTTTCTTTAGGATCTTCTTTTGTGGCCTGGTTGGTGGTTTATACCTTTAATTCCAGCACTAGGGAAGCGAGTTCCAGGTCAGCCTCCTCAAAACAACAAAACCCTTACTTTTTATACTTTGGATACCTTTTTAAATTTTTTTTTACTTTTTGTCTTTTGGGGGTTTGTTTTATTTTTGAGACAGGGTCTCATGTGGTTGAAGCTGACCTTGATCTCTTGATCTCTTTCTCAAGTGCTGCAGTTACAGGCATCCACTGCCACGTTAGCTAGTTTTTGCATTTGAAAACACTTTCCTTTTCTTTGGGGCGACTGAAGAAACTCTAGCGAAGTAATGTGCTTACTTCACACATCTTCCCAGTGTGTGTTACTAAATGCACGCATTTTTGTCTTTCTAGAGCTGTATTATAAAGCGCTACTGTGAGAAGAGGTTTGTGTCTAAGTACCTGGCAACAATTGGAATTGACTATGGGGTCACAAAGTGAGTATATTGCTCCTCTGGCCTGCGCATTACACAGACACTCAGTGTGTCCTAAGAGAGTCCGTGTCTACATCAGAGTATTGCATGGGCTGCACTGAAACAGAGGCTTTGAAGATAAGTTGGAAAAGATGGGGCTAAGGGACTTCTCAGCTAGCAGGTGTATTAGGTACCTGCCAGTGCAGACCTGGTTTTAGATGTGGGGTTGGCAGCAGTGCACAAGCACAGCCTAACTGGCAGACGGGCTTCTTAAGACAGGATTCTTAAAGCTACCAGCAAGTGGATTTTTAGGCTGTTTGTCTTTTGTTGGTTTATGATCTTGATAGCGTGTTGGAATCCAGCAGATCTGAGAATAATGAAGTTGGGAATAGGTGGGTATTTATTTGGAGGTGAACCAAGAATGGTTGGAGAGAGGACTGAGGCACCAAGAAAAATGCCACCAAGGAGTAGAATTTGGGTAAGCAGCACATTTGTTAAACACAGAATTTCAGACCTTACTGTAGAGTACTTGTGTCATTTGTGTGTGTTTAATATCCCTTACTTTGAGAGTAGGGATATTCTTTTACTGTTAATATCCTTGCCCATTCTTTGAAAGTTCTATACATTTTATAATGTATTCTGATCATCTCCACCACCATTACCTCCATCTGTGCATGGGCGTGAGGCAGCCTACCAGTGGCCACATGCTTACAAGACAGTTACTCTCCCTCCCTCAGCAGCCATCCCGCCAGTCCATGCTGGAGTTTTGACTGGCTCGATCTGGTCTTAGCCGGATAACCCAGGTGCTGTGAGTTGATGTGTACAGTCACCATGTCATAACCAAAGTCAGCGTCTCACATCTTTCTTCCCACTGCCAGCTCTTACCTTCTTTCTGCCACCTCTTGCTCGATGTTCCCTGAACTGGATTGGGCGATGCTGTCATAGACGATTCACCCATAATTAAGCATTCATAGTTATTTATATTTGGCACTTTGATCAGCTGTGCATTTCTGCATTAACCATTACCCATTTACAAGTAGTTTCTCTGACCAAAGCTGAGAGCCGTACAAGTCTATGGGCTACATGTAAATATTAAGAAGGCAGTTTGACATCATGACCATTGAGCAAAGCGACAGTAGTTCCCCCTCATCTGTCATATCCTAGCCATGACTTTGACCAGGTTTATAGTATCAGGCATGAAATCCCCCCTGTGGAACAGGCCTCATAGCTAATCAGAAAGTGGTTAGTTACCCTCATAACTGCCATGCCGCTATTACACCAGTGGTCATATCTTGCCAGGCAGTTGTTATTTGGCAGGTAGGGTCCTTCACTGGGGGAGATCATGATCTCTTTTCTCCCCTAGCATCTTCTGGTACTGTGTAAGCTAGCCAAGAGGAAGGGAATTTCCTGGTCAGTTAAAGTTGATTTTTTTTTAATGCCCTGCATCCAAAGTGAGTACTATAAAAAGGGATTTTTATGTTTTCGGTACAGTGCTTTTCCCTGGTGACTGCTTGATAATATTGTTAGATAGATATACTTAAAGATTAAATTTTTTTCCTATCAGAATGTGAAGGCAATATTCAAGAAGGTTGATAAAAATTGGTAAGATGTATCTATATCAGAATGTCAGTTGTATGAAGGGCAGGGTCAAACTTATATATGTCCTTTTGGATTGTATTAAAGTAGTTCAGGTCAGAGGCAGAGTAGAACCTAAGAGTTCTGTGTAAATTCTGTCGCCATTTTCCAACTGAGAGCAGCAGAAGGTATTTTTACACATTTCCTTTAAAGTGTGAAATTCGTAGTTCTTGACTGTGAAAGTCATGACGCTCTTCATTTGAAATCCACATTTCTTTCTACTTTTCCTTTCCCATGTCCTACTTCAGAGCCCAGTTCATCAGGGATGTGGTGGGACATCCGACTTTAGGCACCTGTGTTCAGAAGCCTTACCAGTGCCTGGTTTATCTAAAAAATGACAGTGCCATATGATGGCAGAGGATTGAGCTTATTTATTGATTTATTGATTGATTGATTACTCAATAGACTATTGTTTGTTACAGATTTTTTTTTTTTTAGAAAAGGTGATTATTCCATGATGAGTATTGCAAAAATTCCTTCCCAGGGGAGACATAGGCAATGTTTATCCCTCCTCCCAAGGTCTCAATGACAAACCAAGGCAGGATTCCACCTAGGGAACCGATGCGTTTATTTGGCTTACAGGGCATAGGTGAAGGGTTACCTGTGGTGTGGTTACTCCTCTCCCAAAGGTTGTACCAGAAAATCGTTACCAGCTGGGATAAGGGCTTCCCCATAGCTGCATGGATGGCACCCCTTGTTCCCCGTGTTTCCCAGCCTGTGTACTCTAGCTCTTCCCCAAGACCATGTGCAGTTACATGGCAGAGTTACATACAGCAGGTGGCAGGGAGAAGCTGGATACTTCGATAAGGGTCTTAGACCCCCCCATGAGGGGACATAAGTAGTTGACAGGCTCAGTTGGGATGATCCTTTTGGAGGTGGGGGCAACTTGCTGGTTCAGGGTTGTAGATTCAAATATCTGAGGTGGAAGACGGATCCTTAGTCAGGGATCAGTGTTGTAAAGGAAGGCAGCAGGCTTGTTGGCCAGCTTGCTGGCTTCTGTTGTAATTATCTGGAGTTAAGAAGAGAGTGAAGAAAGCCTCTGGAAATGTGACCCTGTTTCCTTTTGAAATCCATAAACAACAGAAATGTCAATGCAGAAATACAACCTTTGAGATTGTTTCCATTTGAATATTTCAGGGTCCAAGTCAGAGACAGAGAAATCAAAGTTAACATCTTTGACATGGCTGGACATCCCTTCTTCTATGAGGTAAGAAAGCCTTCGGGAGTTAATCCAGATCATGGGTAAAGTTTAGCTCATGTTAGTAGCTTGCCCTCTGAGCCTCAATTTAGTGGATACTCCCTGATCGCCTATGCTCTCCTGGAAGATCGAGATGGGGCGTTTCATGGCTCATGTTTCAAACATTTGAATGAACCAACATTTCCACCTTAGGATGCTGGCCTTTCACTTCAGACCTCAGCCCAGAGTGTGAGTCACAGCCCCCTGTGGACGCAACAGCTCAGCGAGGTCACTCCTGTTACAGCAGGGCCTAGTGTGACCTTCCTGCCACTCCCCAGCTGTGCTGCTTCCCTGGACAAGGCGGAGCAGCCCGGTGGGTCCATGCTCATCTGTGTAGCAGTCCCTGGCTGAGCCGTGGTGACCTGTTTGCCTGTCTTTCCTTTTCCTTCTTTCTCCTTGCTTTGGCCTCATCTGCCCGTTCTTCATTTGAGCGCTTTCTTTCTCAGCTGCTTGTCTTGTTGCTGATCTTTTTAGTCCAATAGGTCTGTGAGTTCCTGTTAATTGATTCACATCCCCCCACCCCACAGGTAGGTGAGGTAGAGGAGCTTTGGGGAGCTGGTCCTCTCGTTCCACCATGTAGCTTTGGGAATTGGACCAAGGCCATCAAGCTCAGCAGGAGGTGTTTTACCCACGGAGCCACCTCACTGGCTGCAGGGGAACAGTCCACAGGAGGCAAGAAGGCAGTTCAGTTCAAAACGACTCACTCAGGGGTGAAGAGTCCTGGCTGCTCTTCTGGAGGTCCTAAGTTCAATTCCCAGCACACACATGGTGACTCACAACCATCTGTAGTGATATCAGATCCCTTTTTCTGGTGTGCAGGTATACGTTCAGATAAAGTATTCGTGTTCATAAAATAAATAAATAAATCTTTAAAAACAGTACAAAACACTACTCAGTAGCCATTGATGGTTCAAATTTTAGGCCCTGAGTACTTTATTTAGGCATGCTTAAGCACAGGACAATTTGGTAAAAACTTCTCTGGTGATAATTAACTCAATCCTGTGTGCACAATAAAGCACAAAGTAAGCTAAATAAAGACGGGACATAGCTACATCAGAACTCTTTGTACAGTATGTGTGATGTCTTCCGTAAGGATGGATTGTATAGATTTAGAAAGACAAGTTTAGCTGCATGGTGCTGGCGTACTACTTTAATCCCAGCATTGGGGAGCCAGAGGCAGGCAGATCTCTGTGAGTTTGAGGCCAGCCTGATCTACACAGTGGATACCAGGACAACCAGGGTTGGTAGAGAAATCCTGTCTTGAATCCCCCACCGCCCATAAAAAAGGGAAAGCAAAACAAAACCTAACCCTGTAATACCACTTAAGCAAGGTTGAACTTTGGAGGGCATGGGGGTAGGGAAACAATTGGGGAATTTTGAGCCAAAACTTTAAAAAGATAAGTTACACACTGTGCATGGTTCTGGGAAGCCAGCTTGGAAGCCTGCAGCAGTGTAGTGAAGGCTGTGCTGGACTGTACATGGGAGGGAGTGACGGGCGGAGAAGCCTGCAGACATGGTCCACAGGACCATGAATCCGCTGGAGAGACAGGACAGCAGAAGCGGACACTGGACCTTCAGCCTCATCACTGACATCCCCATGTCAGATTCAACACGATATTCTGCTAAGCCTGGTGCTAGCTAGTGGAAGGAAGCTACAGTGGGGGAGGGAGCAGGCTGATCTTGGAGACTGGCGGTTGACCCCATGCAGGTAGTTGATGTTACCCAATTGTAAAGAAAGAAAGATTCAGAAAGGAAGAGGGCCCAGGACAGGATTTGGGGATGGTTAGTAGTAGACAAAGGCAGAGAAAAGGAGTTGGTAGAAGATAATTGATGTTTATTTCATTATATCTGTAATATCTATATCATATATGTGGATATTCTTTTTTTTTTTTTTTTTTTGGTTTTTACTAGACAGGGTTTCTCTGTATTGTTTTGGAGGCTATCGGTCCAGCCCACCTCGAACTCACAGAGATCCGCCTGCCTCTGCCTCCCGAGTGCTGGGATTAAAGGCGTGCGCCACCACCGCCTGGCCATATATGTGGATATTCTATACTCACATGTATGTCTGTGCACCATGTGCTTGCCTGGGGCCCTCAGAGGTCAGAAGAGGCTATTTAATCCCCTAGAGTTGCGTGTTTGAAACTGTATGTGGGTGATGGGAATTAAACTTGTGCAAGTAGTCCAGTAAGACCATACCAACTTCAGCAAGGCCACACCTTCTAACCCTCCCAAGTAGTATCCTCCCTGAAGAGGAAGCATTCAAATGTATGGATGTGTGGGCATCGTTCTTACTCAGACCACTATAGTCATCATCATAGACTCCTGTTTTTGTTGATTCTTACTGTGGTGAACTGTCCTTAGGTTTCTCTAAATTAATGATAGAACCTTAAGTTCTTGTCAGTGCTCAGAAGCCCATGCCCAGTGTGAAAGGTAAATGCCCCCCTCCCTCTTTGGGTTTTATTAATAGCCCATACTAGCCTCAAACTCAGTATGTAACCTAAGCTGGCCTTAAACTCACAATCACTGTCTCAGCCTCCTGAGTGCTGCTGTGACAGGCATCCCTACCACCTCCTGCTTCCTCACTTCCGAATAATTAGCTAGAGTGAGTCTCAGTGCTATGTGTAGGGCACACGAGCCAGTCAGAGATGGCACTGAGGGGAAGTCAGATGGGCAAGTCCCGAGTTGTTTACAAAAAAGATGACTGGTTGCCTAGATCGAACCAGATGAGGTCACTGTATGAGCAGCTAGTGTTCACTAGGTAAAGCGTAGGGCACCGAGGCCCATGAGAGGCTGACCTTTAAAACCATTGGCTGACTGTTTTCCCGCTCCGGGGTTTTTTTCCTTTAAAAGATACTTGTCATGGGACAGTAAATGAGTTCCTGCTTGACTAGACTCCCTGCTGCGTCTGACTGTCTCCGGGACCCTGGGAGGCTGGGGAATGGGCGAGCAGCACACTGACCTTTCCTTGGGCCCAGCTCAGCCTTCCGAGGTTGGGATAAGACCCTGCACTATGTTCTCTTCAAGGTTCCTACCAGCATTTCACCCCACCCATCTTCTCACTGCGTCTGCCATTGAGTGCACCTGCCCTTGTTGTCAAGTCTTTTGGAGCTGCCCAAGAGGCAGCTTGTCGTTTCTGACATTGTCTCAGGACAGTCAGAGTGCATGGAAGGAGGGAGAAGGAACTTGTGTGCATCGATTTTCAGGTGCCTCTGTGACCTCACCTAGTCCCAGCACTGTGATCCCCTTTTCCAGATGAGGAAGTACAGAGGGGTTATGTGATTTGCCCAAGGTCACACAACTTTTAGTGGGTGTGACCCAGAGCTGCCTGCTCCTCAGCCGTTCTCCCTACTGGGCTCTGAGTTTGGGGGTTGAAATTGATGTATAGCCTTGGAGCAGTCTAGAAAGCTCTGCCTGGAATGCTGGGTAAACCCTGGGATGGGATGTTTGTGTGGTGGGCAGCCATTGCTCATAATTGTGTCATCTTGCTTTAAGTTCTTTTGACTGTTCGTCTACCTTCCTGAGAAGATCTTGACACAGCTGTCTTCCAAGTCTACCAACAGCTAGAGTGTGCTGCCTCTGAGGAGCTGTGATTTGTTTTCTGCTAAAAAAAAAAATTCTCCCAACCTACAGATTTGTTTGTTTCATTCTGATTTTATATGAAGTCCTCTAAATGCCACTAAATACTGAGATAACAATGAGTACTCTAAATACAAGAAAGGACACACTTTGTTAATGGCTGTGAGTTGCATTCTTATAGAAATCACAGAGTTAACAACTTGAGCCTCTCCCATCTGCAGGTTCGAAATGAATTTTACAAGGACACACAAGGCGTGATGCTGGTCTATGACGTGGGACAGAAGGACTCATTTGATGCCCTTGATTCATGGCTGGCAGAAATGAAGCAGGAGCTTGGGCCTCACGGGAGCATGGACAATGTTGTCTTTGTTGTGTGTGCCAACAAGGTAACTGCTTTGAATTGGTTTGCTGGCCCAGCCCTGGGTCTGAGGACATGGAAGGAAAGGGTTGGGTGTGTGGCTTAGCCTGGAATCCCAGGACTCGGAGACTGAGAACAGGAGGGCTATGAGCTGGAGGCCAAGTGAGCTATGGAGAGAGTGCAGACCAGCCTGGGCAGCTTAGTGAGACCTGTCTTCAGTCTTCAAGCACAGATGCACACACACATGCACATCGGGGGAGGTGCTGTTTTGTAACATAGAAATCTGTAATTGGTAGCCTTTGAAAACATGCCTGTGAGACAAAAACCAGAAACCCGTCTAACTGGATTTTTATTCATTTTTTCCCCCTTGGTGTCCAGATTGAGGAAACAGCCTGGGAAAAGCCTACTATTCATAGCTTGGCCTGGCGGGAGGGGTTGTTCATAGCAACAGCAGATAGCCCCTTGGGTAGGACAGGTCATGATGTAACTTTCACAGACGTATGTAGCCGCTGCTTTCCCATGGGAGGAAGTGGCAGATGCGACCTAAATTAGACAGAAAACCCAGTCAATGGGTTTCTGTTGTTTGGTTCAGTTTAGCCTGGTACTTTTACATAGCTTGAGGCTCAGTGATGGAGGCTTCTCTGGACCTGATATATTGGGACAAGGATGGATCTTCTCTCTGTCCCCTCCCTACTTTCTGTTTCAGATTGACTGCACCAAACACCGCTGCATCGATGAAAGTGAGGGGCGTCTTTGGGCCGAAAGCAAGGGGTTCCTGTACTTTGAAACATCAGCACAAACTGGAGAGGGAATCAATGAGATGTTCCAGGTAGCCAAACATCTGTTCTAGGCTTTGCGCCAATGGTAGTTCATAGTTAGGATTCTGAGAAGCAGAACAGTAGTGGGACTTTCTCAAATGGGAGACAGGGGTGTGGCGGGAGAGAGATGATTGATCTATCTATTGTAGGTCAGACCTGCTCATCATCACAGTCACCTGGTGTCTTAGTTATTGTTCTCATTGCTGCCATAAAATACCTGTCAAAAGCATGTTGAGGAAGGCAAGGGGTTTATTTCAGGGCACAGTTGAGGAGTGCAGGCCATTGTGCAGGGAGGCTAAGGTGGTGGGAGGTTGCAGCATCTGGTCCTGTTGCACCCGGGCTCAGGAAGCAGAGAAAGGTGAAGCCGGTGCTCAGCTTCCTGTTTATCAGTCAGGGATTCATCCCATGGGATGGTGCTGTCATATTTAGGGTGAGTCTTCCTAACCCAGTCTAGAAAAGCCCTCACAGACATTCCACAGTGATTCTAATCCCATCAAGTAGAACTCAAATGAATTCATACCAGGGGAAATTCGTCAACACGAGACATGGTCTCACTATGTAGTCCTGACTGTCCTAGAATTCACTATGTGGACCAGGCTGGCCTTGAACTTTCAGAGGTCTACCTGCTTCTGTCTCCTGAGTGCTGGGCTCAAAGGCATGTACCACCACCCCTGACTAGAGCCTAGGAATTTGTGTCTTGGTAAAGCACTCCAGGTGGTTGTGGTGGTCATCAGGTTTAGCAAGTTACTATGCTATTTCACTGGGATGGAGATTTTTCTTCACAACTATCTTTGTATAATGGTGTTACATTCATATGAAGCCTTGCTGTAGCAGAATTGCCTTACCACATGCAGGTGTCTAAGCCTGTACTCACAGAGCAGCTCACCGAGGTTGCAGATAGCTTAGAGAATAGGAGACCATCATGGTAGAATCCAGCTGGCCACTCATAAAAATCCAAAAGGCAGTGTAATAGAATGCGCTCGCCTGGCAGCCTGAGTAGATGGTCATTTCTTGTTACTGTTGTGTGTATGGGCTCGTGCATATGTGTATAGGTGTACTCTAGTGCATATGTGTATAGGTGTACTCTAGTGCATATGTGTATAGGTGTACTCTAGTGCATATGTGTGTAGGGGAACATGTCCAGTGTCTTTCTCTCTTGTTCTTCATCTTTTGAGCCAGGGTGTCTGTCTCAATGAACCTGGAGCTCACCAACTATCTAGACTGGCAGCCAGACAGCCCCCAGGATCCACTTGTCGACTTTTTCCCCACCAGTGCTGGGGCTATGGGCACCAGCCACTCCTCCTGGCTCCCTAGCCCCAGATGTCACTTTTTCCCCCCCTTTTGAGACAGGCTTTCTCTGTGTAACCCTAGCTGTCTTGGATCCCACTCTTTAGACCAGGCTGTCCTTGAACTCACAGAGATTCCCTGCCTCTGCTGGAACTAAAGGTGAGCGCTATCACTGCCTGGCTGTTCCCAGACCATTTTTTTTAAAAAGGCCTATTTATTTATTTGTTTGTTTGTTTGTTGATTTTATATGTATGGGTGTTTGCCTGTTTATATGTGCACATATGTTTGCCCGGTACCACAGAGGCCAGAAGAGAGTGTTGGATCCCCTGGAGCTGGAGTTACAAGCAGTGTGAGCTCCCATGTGGGTGCTGGAACTGAACCCAGGGCCTCTCAAGAGCAATGAGTGCTTTTAGCTGCTGAGCCATCTCTCCAGTGACCAAATAAGATACATTTTAAAGATGTATTTTCCTTTAACTCTTTAAGTATATTTTCCTTTATTTCCTTCCAGTCTTTCAGCTAGCTGTTTTGAAGCTTACCAAGTCCAGTATTTGAACCAGCATGGGTTCAGTTACTACCAACTGCTTTCTGCTAACATTGGTCATGTTTTCTGGCCCCTTTGTGTGATAGTAATGTTTTGATTTGATTGGGTAACACATCTGTGGAGAGAACATTGTAGAGACCCTGCAGATTTCTCTGTCTTTTCTAGAAAAATATGACTTCTTGTTGCAGGAGGCAGAATGCGATGAACTCTTGTAAACTTGCATTTTTGCTTTAACAAATCACAGATCTGAAGGAAGTCCAAAGTGTTTCCTAAACCTTCTAATTTGACAGGATTCAGCATCCACATTCTGCTCTAACCAATCATGTTGGTTCTTGACTTTGGGTGTGGTTAGGATGATGGTTAGGTAAGGCCTGAGGTGCATCCTTTCTGTGTGCCCAAGGGGGTTTCAGGAGCATCAAGACGGTGCTCTGGGAAGGCGAAGCTCGGGTGTCTTGGGCTAGCTCTTCCCCTAGAAAACATGGATTGTGCTCTCAGCTCTTGTCGGGCAAGTCTCAGGTGGCCTCAGTCTTCATATGAGTAACCTAGTTCTTAGCTACAAACCCACAAGGAAGCCCCACCTGTGTGGGCCCAGCTCTCCTGATTCTTGCCACTGCTGTCACCTCAGACTCTGGTCTCTGCCTCTGCCTCCTTCTCTCAGTGGGACTTTGTGTCTGCCTGATCCAGATACGGCCTCTAGGATGAGAGTGGTTCACCTCTCCTAGCTCATGCTTCCTGTTGTCTGCTGCCGAGAGTAGCTGCCGTGCGTGTGTGTGCTGTTTGATGGTTGATTGGGGTCTGGTCTAGCATTCTGTATTGGCTGGAAGCAAGACCTGAGATTTACCATTTTGACCTCACTCCTCCTGAGAAGATTATGGCTGGTCTTCTGTCACCACGTGTTCTAATAACTACCTGTACCCACAGAATGTATCTATTTCTATTTCACGATAATTCCAGGACACCAGAAAATGTCAACTTTAACCCTAGTGACATTTGTGAACTGTGAGCCCTTCTTGGTGCTTTTCTCCTTCTGACTGGTTCTTGGTAGAAATGATGGGTAAATGAGTCTGTTTTCTTGTTGGGCTGACGAGACACAGTAACATTGTTCTGTAGGTAAGCCTGAAGCTGTGCTTCCCTGGTGACTCAGTTGATAAACATAGTCTTGATTTCCTGCCTGCCTTTGTGCCAGGAGGAAGATGGCTTGTGATGCTAAGATCACCACAGTGAACTAGCACCCTCTGTCCTGGCCCATGCTCTTTCTTCCCAGATGTCAAGACTTCCCAGTAGGTTTGCAGTTACTAGAAATGAGAAAGAGGAACTTAACATTTTTAACGATTTGTTTTATTTTTAATTAAGTGTGCGTTGTGTGTGTGTATATGATGTGGGGAGCCAGAGGCATCTGTTGAAGGCCATTGTGAGTCATCTGGCATGGTGCTGGGAACCAAACTCCAGTCCTCTAGAAGAGCTGTATATACTCTAACTGCTGAGCCAGTTCTCCAGCCCCAAAGACACATTTACAAAAGGAGGTAAAAGGTTCTGTTGGAGAAACTGAAAGAGAGGAAAATATTTTAAGAGAAACTTAAGTGAAGAGGAGATACATCAGTTAAAAGGAGGAAGAGGAGATGGGAAATAGGAGAGGAGAGAGAAGGGAAGGGAGACGAGGACAGGGAGGAAGGAGAGGGGAGGAGAGAGGAGACTTACTCTACTTATAATTACAGAAATGAGGGCTGGAGAGACGGCTCAGGGTTAAGAGCACTTGTTCTTGAAGAAGACTCAGGTTGAGTTTACCCAGGAATACACACTACCAAGCTGCACGTGGTAATGGCAGGCTTGCCATCGCAGCACTAAGAGGCAGAGACAGGAGGGTGATGGGTTCCGTTATCACCCTCTGCTGTGTAACTAGTTCAGGGCCTGCCTAGGCTATGTGAGACACTGTTTCAAAAAAACAAAAGACAAAACAATTCAATATTGTCTGCAATGACCAAAAGACCTAAAATAACTGGCAAGTCCAGGAATAGGGAATTAAATAAATTGTGGTATAGCCACATAATAGGATCCTGAAGGCATTGGAGAGCAAAGGAAGGTCTGTAAATACAGAACTCCAAGGTGGACCTAGGGATTGAACCCAGGTCGATGCTAATGCTAAGCAATCACTTTTCCACTGAGCTGGTCCCAAGGCTTCTTTTTACTTTTTGTTTGAGATTGGGTCTCATTAAGTTACTGAGCCTGATCTTAAACTTACTCTGTAGGCTGGGCAGACCTTGAGCTCCTGCTTCTCCTGCCTTAGCCTCCCAAGTAGCTGAGACGATAGGTCTGCGTCACCAGGCCTGCACTAGGTGTGTTATGTGGGAAACTGAAGCTGCTAAGCATTGTGTGGCATCTGAGACCTCTCGTGTAAATGTTTGTGTGTGACGGGCTGGTAACAGATGTCTCTGTAGGGCTCCTGAAGTACACTAATGATGGCTATATCAGGGAGAAAGGGTTAGGTTTTATTGTTGGAATTTTTCTAACAGTTCAAATGTGCTTCTCTGAGAGTAGGATTATGAATCATTTTAATTTAAATTAAACTAATAAATTTTACGTTAGCTTATACTTTTCTGTTTTAAAAATAGGTAGTTAGAGGGTTGGGTAGAGCACTAAGGCCCTCGGCTCTTAAAGTTACTGAAGTGTGTGAAAGGAACTCTTATCTCACAGAATCACTTCCCTGGGATGGGTTTTCTTCCTACAGACCTTTTACGTGTCCATAGTTGACTTGTGTGAAAATGGCGGGAAGCGTCCTACTGCAAATAACAGTGCTAGTTTCACCAAAGAACAAGCAGACACCATTCGCAGAATTCGAAATAGTAAGGACAGTTGGGACATGCTGGGAGTCAGACCTGGGGCCTCAAGGTAAGTTTACTGCGGGATTCTGGAAGAGCCCGAGGCTCTGTTGCCAAAAGTACTACCCGATCTTTCTCCTTCTAATTGACTAGAGACTTGGTGTGTGGCAATAAGTTTCCTAAGGACTCTGCCCCACTAACTCAACCCAGAGAAATGAAACAGAGTGTGCATTGCCTGCTGAGTGAACTATGTCGTGTTTCTGCGTAAACACTTGATGAAATGGCTTGTTCAGTCTTTGTGTTGAGTAAGAATCTGACACGACCTTAGGAAACTTTATAAAAAATAATTCTTAAATGGTAAAATTTAGAAGAAGAAAGATTTCTCAACTTGCTTCCATTTTACTGGGGAAACTGGAGTTCAGTAGACTATGAGTAATCATTGAGGCCCCAGGAGAGGTGTCTTCTGCCCAACTGCCTTTCTCATAAACACTGCGCATTCTCATCTGTGATTGGGTTATGTGTGGTTACCTGTTTTACTCTAAAGATATATTTAGGAAGAACTGGACATGGCTGTTTTGGAAGAAAAGTTCTGCTCTTTATTCACTTTGGTTAACTAGAATCTACTAGAGCTCTGATAAATCCCAGGCCTCTGTCATTTCTGCCTCCTTAACCTGTATAAACACAAGTTTATCTGCACAGCTGTGTCTATCAAATGACGTTGGCGCATTTGGGACAAATCCTTGAACATTAGAGTGTTACATTCTAGAGAATTCTGGTACTTGTTTGGGGTCAAATGTGCCTACAGTTCTTGAACTTTAAAGCAATACTACCGTCGGTAAGGTCGTTGACACGCACACCTGCACCAGTCTTGTTTCTCTAGAACTTTCCCTTGAGAGTCTTTCTGTGTCTGAAAATCTTGAAAGGCCTCAGTGCGGGGGCCAGGTGTAACACTGAGCCTGCCTAGACACGCCCCCCTAGAGCAGTGGCTCCATTGGCCCTGCCTCACACTCCATCTTGAAGAAGGAGGGGACCCTGTACTCAGCTCAGGTACACAGGGCCTGGATAAATACAAACTCTGGCCATTCAAAGTTCTTCTGAGAAGGAGAGTGCCTTTTGATAACTAATACAAAGATTGCATGTGTAGGGGCTGAGGAAGACGTCTCAGTGGATGAAGTGCTTGCTACATGGGCGTGAGGCCCTGAGTTTGGATCCCAGTACTCACACACAAGCCAGGCATAGCAGCATATGTGTATCCTAGTTTTGGGAAGGCAGAAGCAGGTGACTCCCTGGAGCTCACTGGTCACCCAGTCTAGCCAAAGCAGCCATGTTGAGGCTTAGCAGACCTGACTTAAAAAATAAGGTGGGGAGTGACAGAAGACAGCTGGCGTTGGCCTCTGGCCTCTCGATGCTCACACATGCACGGACACAGGCACACAGCACCCAAACATACTGAACAGAAAAGACTACATATTGCGTGTGTAGAGAATGCAGAGCTAGAACAAGAAGTTCAGAAGGGCTCGTCCGGCAGGAAAAGCTAGCCTGTGTGTCTAAGACACAGGGACTTAGCCTCTCCAGATTGACACCTGACTTTGTGCCATCTCCAGGCCAGCAAAGGGCCTATCTTTAATTGGGGGGGTGCTCTGAGAAGTCCTTCCAACAAATGCAAAAGAGTGAAGGCACCTGGCACAGCACCATGCCCTGTTGAGAGGATTGCAGGGACTCTGGTGACAGAAGGAAGCTTGGGGAGTAAGACCATGTGGTGGGGACAGAGAGACAGAGCTCCAGAGTAACCTGACTCCTGAGGAAGACTGGGAGTGGGCGTGGGGAAGAAACCTGCAGTCCAGGCCTTCTCCAGCCAGTCCCTGCTGCTCAGGACCGTGGGGGCATCTCAGCATCTCCTCCTTCATCTTCTGTGGCTGGTGGGCACATCAGCGGCTCCGATGGCTTTTGCTTCATGTTGTATACGCTCTCTTTCCTTCACTATTCTCACAGACGCCTCCACCTGAACTGTCGCTCTCAGGCCTGGGCTCCTGCCTGCCTCTCAATGTTAGAAACAGTTTTCTCAGTGCCCACTGCCACGACATGCCTGCTATTGTTACCGTCAATCAGATGCAGTGTTTTTCCTTGTTTTGCTTTGGAGGCCTCTCTGCTAGTTCCTCCCTGGCACACCAAGTCCCTGTGCTAATTACAAGCCCCTCTTCTTCCAGAAGCTTCTCCCAAGGGATTTTCCCTGGTGCCCAGACTCTCATCCCTCGGTTAGTACAGGCTTGCTCTGTGCCCCTGAGTGTCTAGAGCTGCCTGGCAGCGGCTGAACCTTCTTGGACTGTCTTCTAGACTCACTTACACTGTATTTTTCTACTGTATAGGACCTATTGTTTGTTTGTTATTTTCTAATCTTGTAGTCCTACCTTTGGGAAAAGGAAGTCATTGCTGACAGAGCTCGGCTGCTTTTCACAGGGAGGAAGTCAATAAGGCCTACCGGAAGCTGGCAGTACTGCTTCACCCGGACAAGTGTGTAGCGCCTGGCAGTGAAGATGCCTTCAAAGCAGTTGTGAATGCCCGGACAGCCCTCCTGAAAAACATCAAGTAGAAGGCAGAGGAAACGGCAGGCGGGCTCAAGTGCAAACAGACTCCCCTTGAGGTGAAATAGCCAACTTGGATTTTTCCTTCACAAATGCTCACTGTTCGGTTCCCTCACGTGCCGTCTCATTTGTAAGCTAATAGTGTAGGTGCCTGTTGCCATGTTGTGGGCCTTTTTCAGTGAGATGACCTGCTTTTGTGTGAGAGAGAACCCACGTTTCTTATGCACTGCACTGCATTTCTTATTGCCAGATAACTCAGTGTTCGTAATTGCAGCATCGCTTAGGCATTGGCTTCTGAAAGTCGGTGAGACTTCTAGAGAAGGGGAGGCTAGCAGGACACTCTGGCTGACCTGCCTCTCTGCCCACCCACCCACCCATTGCCATCATCAGAGAAGGGAATAAAATCAGGACAGACAATGACAGGCAAGCAGACAGCACCAGTCCCTGCTTCTTGGCTAGTATTTTAACCATCAGCCTCTAATTAGAGTCGGGCGTGGGGGCTCAGGCCTGTAATCCCAGCACGCAGGAGGATTGTGAGTTTGAGGCCAGTCTGAACTACATGGAGAGACTCTTTCATGTAAAGTGAGGTGACACTGTTCTGTCTACCTGCCTTTTAGGACATTTCACTCTGCTTCTTCTTCAACCAGCAGGGGGATGAGCAGTGCTGAGGGAGAAAGGTGGTGCTCACTGGAGCTGGATCCCAGGTCTTTGCTCTGTCCTAGAACAGCAAGGAGTGCTGTGCCACCGGGAATAAGGGACCGGAGGCCAAGACGGGACACTAGAAGGCGTGCTGTAGATTCCTCGGGAGTGTGCACCCAGCCACACCGCACAGGGAAAGACAGCTAAGCTCAGGTGTGTTGGGCACTAGGAGGGGCCCTACGTAAGACTTGTCCCTTTCCTCATTCCTTACCGCGGGGTGGCAGAGGCAGGCAGGTACTCTTCTGCAAGCAGGCCTCTCTCTTCAGCACCAGTGTTAGTCCTAATCGGTTCTCTACCCCACATCTGCCATTGCCTCTCCTCCTGAATCCCTAGTGTTGCCCCAGGCTCAGCTGACTAGAAATAAGTGTGATCTATTGGGGGCACAATGGAACATTTTAGGCCTGTAGAGGGCAGACTCTTTACAGTTTATGCTTAGGCTCCAAATTTTTGAAGAGAATTTTTAAACTACAGGTATGGAAACTCATTTTGTGTAGAGAAGCATTCCTCATGCGTTGTCCCTGCCTGGTACACAGTGCCGGATAGAGCTGCATGGAGAGCACTGCATTTCCTACAGTGCTTAGGGGAGCGGGCTCATTGCTTGACTCTGTCTCTCAGCTCTCTTAGCTGTGTTATTTTTTTTTTTTTTTAGCTTCAGCCACCTGTGCTAACTGGAGCTTTGAAGGATATAAAAACGTTACTAGGCTGTGACTTTTAAACACCTACCCCATAATGGTTGCTGGATAACATCTCTCTTACCTAAGAAGACAAGCCCCTGTCTTACAATCCAAACCACCACAGTCTTGAGGATTATTTCCCTCTACCATAGTAACCTCACTTTGCATGGCTGTGCTCAGTTATACTGAGCTTGAAAATGCTGTCCATCATGAATTCAGATCTGTGTAAAAGAGATATGGAGGTCTGATGTGTGGCTTGATGGTTTCCTCTGGCCCTTGGACTGGCTTCTCGGATGGTAGAACTCTACCTCCAGCTTCTCGTGGGCCTCAGTTCTGTTTGAGGCTTCCCTTGTGCCTAATGTACCCCACTATCCAACTGCTCTTTGACCGGAAGGTGGGAGTCCTGTGGATGAGGGGCTGCTCTTGGTACTGTCAGCCCGAGTGTGGGGCCCAGTCTTCGCCATGGTTGTTAGAGACACTTCATCCAGCAGCATGGGCAGGGCTGTAGAGCCATCAAAGCCTGCCTCAAAATGAACCTTAGCTTTTAAACCCCTGACGGCCCTCGGTGTTCACTGAACTTCTCGGCACAGGTGGGTGTTTTGTCTTTCACATTCTTTAAAACTCTTCACCCAGTTAAGATCTCAGAACATCAGCTGGAGTCACAACTCAGTCATGTCAGTGGCTAAAAATTTATAGAAGACCTTGGTTTCCCAGAAAAGGAGTTAAAGAAAAGCCATGCTTCTGCATCTGAGTCATCAAGTGTCACTTCTTACACTTGTGGAGAATCCCTGGAGGCATTTCAGAGTTACTCTTCCAGCCACCTCAAGCACTTTAAAACATATCCCCTTTTGTGTCAGAGACATCCTCTCCTGTGCCTCCTGTGAGTGGCTGTCCTCCACTGTCAGCATCTCTTACTTAAGCACTGCCACTTTATTCCCCCATTTAAATGTGTCCTTGCTTTTATAGCCTGTTAACTTAAGAGTCCAGATGTTTAGGATAAAATCACTGTCATTCTATAAACTGTTCACCATTCTTTAAGGCTTATATTTACCTCAGGAAACTTATTCTAGTATGTTCTCACTAATTGAAATCTCAAGTGATAAATACTTCTTTATACCTGCAAACTGGTACCTAATGCCATCTTAGTTCAGTGAGCCATAGGCTGGGCAGCTAGATGGTCAGTGAGCCATAGAGCTCATTAGAGGAAAACAAGGAGTGCCTGCCAGTACTGAATCAGGGGCAAGTGCTATTCTACCTAGAGTGGCAACTGTCACCAGGAGGATGAAGGGATTGCTTTTGGCAGTGGCAGTGTCCTCTTCCAGGTCTGGAATGGCATTTTTCTCACACTGCAGCCCATGGAGCTAAGTTCCCCAGCATTTTTGAGAAAGTTTTGAAAATGAATTTAGTTGTAAAATCAAGCTAAGCAATTTCCACTGTGGGCTTCACAAGCAAGGAGCTGCCCACCCTGCTCACCCTGGTGCTGAGCACAGTTTTAGATACGGTTAGTGCCCTTTGGACGTTGATGGCAGCATTAGCTGTCTCTGGGGAGGATGGACGTGTCCACTTGTGGGTGGTGCGGGTGGACAGTGACTGTGTCCACCACCCAGTGCGGTGCCCGGCTGTCTGTTAAGGCTGTGGGTGGGAGGACTGTTGTGGAGAGTTAGGCAGTTTGGGTTAGCTCCCTGCACTGATCGCGCTGTGCACATTTTTTCCCTTGACTGTGAATGTCCTTACAAGGTAATTTACATATCTGCTTTCTGTTGAGATAACTGAAAGTGTTAAATCTACCAGTTGTTTATGTCTTGTATACAGAGTGTCATATGTATTTAAGTTGTGTATTTTTATAGAGTAAAATCAAATAGCAAACACTGGTCTGCTGGCTGCACTGTTTTGTTTAGACCCTGACCTTTGGTGTAAAACTAGACTAAACAGGAATCCAATGCTCATCAGCTGTGACCTTCATTCAGCAAAACATGTAACTCATCATAATCCCAGCACTCAGGAGGCTGAGGCAGGAAGATCATGAGTTTGAAGCCAATCTTGGTCACAAAGAAAGGCCCTATCTCAAACACATAAGCCAGGTGTAGTGGTGCCGTAGTCTACCCCAGCACTCAGGACAGGAGGATCAGGGAGATCCTGGTCTGGGTAGCCGGTTCCAGGTCATCCAGCTATAGAGTGAGACCCTGCCTCAAAAAGCAAAGCAAAGAGAAGCAGAGAAGGACCTCTTAGTTAAGATGCCAATGGGGAAAATGAAGAAAATTGTACTTGTTGGTGCCTTAGGCCAGTCTGACTCAGTTAAGTGCGGCTTTGTAGCTCACATGAAACTGTTAACTCACTTTGAAGTAGTGCAGACCAAGCTAAAGCTGTAGCTCAGTGGGAAAGTCTGCTTAGTGTAGGGGATGCCCTTGGTTCAATAGTGCTACTTGACTCACTCATGCATTAACTCAGTTAGCGAAGCCTTAAGCTGAAGCGTCACATCACTGGAGTTTGAGAGTCTTGTAGGACCCACCCAGGGAGCAGCCAGAACTTTGCTTTTTGTTCTCATGCAGACTCTGGTCTGCCTAGCATCTCAAGACCCCGGAAAATGGCCCACCTCGCTCTCAGAACTGTACATCTGGTAGAGATGTCCCAAGTACCTCATTTCTTAAAGGGCCCATCTGTCCTCCACAAAGGTAAGTCCAGGGAACAGGAATGTAACTCCCAGCTCAGCCAGTCTGTATGCTACGTTGTTATTCACATTTTGTGTGTGTTTATGTGCCTGTGGTGGACATACATACAGGTACATGTATGTTGGGGCTGGAGGTCATGGCTTCATTTTTAGAGACAGGATCTCTCACAGAGCCTGGAACTCACAGATGAGGCTGTACTGGCTGGCCAGCAAACTTCAGGGATCATCCCGTCTCCCCAGCACTAACTAGGTTACAGATGTGTACCACCATTCCTAGCCCCCCACCCCCCAGGGTAGGTCCTGGGGATTGAATTCACCTTCTATGGCAAACACTTTCCTAACTGAGACATCTCCTCAGCCCTATTACCTGAATTTTACAGATGAGAGAAACTGACTCATTTTCCCAAGGCCACATAGAAAGCCACTCAAACCCAAGGCTGCTCGGATTTAGAATTCACACTCTAAATCTGTACCTACAGACTCCTCAGCTTACAAGGCAATATTCTGATTTTTAAGAATTCCTTAAGCTGGCTGGGGAGGAGGCTCGTGGGTAAAGTGTTTGATATATAAAAATGAAGACCTGAGTTCAAATCACCGGAACTCATGTGTTTGAATAACAATAGCCCTTATTGCCTGATGGTGGTAGTGCACCCCTTTAGCCCCAGCTCTAGGGAGGCAGAGGCAAGTAGGTCTCTGCATTCAAGGCCAGCCTGGTCTACAGAGGGCTACACAGAGAAACCCTGTCAAGGTTTCAGAAACTCAAGGGAGGCCTACTGTCTCGCTCCCTGATACCCTCAGATCTGGATGTATCTATCTTTCAGCTACTTCCCCAGCACCATGTCTGCCAGCATGCCACCATGCTCCCTGCTGTGATGTCTGTGGATTAAACCTCTCAGCTGTAAGACAGCCCCAGTTAAATGCTTTCCTTTATAAGAATTGCCATGGTCATGGATCAGAACACTGACTAAGATGCCATGTAAAAGCTGGATGGATACACAGTATTGCAAGTGTCTTAGTTGGGGTTTCTATTGTTGTGAAGAGACACCATGACTAAGGCAACTCTTATATTGGAAAGCACTTCATTGGGACTGACTTACAGTTTCAGAGATTTAGTTCATTGTCATCATGGCAGGGAAGCATGGCGGTGTGCAGGCAGACATGTGCTGAAGAAGGAGTTGAGAGTTCTACATCTGGATCTGCAGGCAACAGGAAGTGAACTGCCACACTGACTGTGGCTTGAGCATATATGAGATCTCAAAACTACCTCCCTGGTGATACACTTCCTCCAAGAAGGCCACACCTACTCCAAGAGGGCCACGCCTCCTAATAGTACCACTCCCTATGGGCCAAGCATTGCTGTTTAAACCACCATAGCGAGTAATCCGCTGTACTCCCTACAGTTAGATGGGAGGTAGAGACAAGAGTCCCCAGGAGTCTGTGTTGTGGAACCTTACATGGGCAGCAGCAGACAGACCCTGCCTCAGGACTGTAGATGAGGACCGTCATCTGAGGTTGTCCTCTGACCTTCACACATGCATCATGGGTGTACCCATGCCCACACTCACATGAACATATCTAAATCAAACACACCTAACTTGAGGACCACCGCCCACAATCACGAGTCGTCTGTCTGGGGTAACAGGGTGGCGATGGGTACTCCCAGCTGCTTCCTACTGTCACGAGACGATTGGGCAGCGTATAAAGTCTGATGAAGTCCTGACTTGTATCAAATCTATCTGAGTTTTGCACCATCAGGATGCAGGGAATCACGACAAACCATTTCCAGCGGAGGATTCGTGTACTCCTGACTCAGTAAGTAGCACTGTTTGTCCAGGTGACAAACTACTGTACAAAGAGGCCTGTACTCTTTTAAAATACAGCACAGAGTGGGGCGTTGGTGGCGCACACCTTTAATCCCAGCACTCGGGAGGCAGAGGCAGGCGGATCTCTGTGAGTTCGAGGCCAGCCTGGTCTACAAAGCGAGTTCCAGGAAAGCCTCCAAAATAATACAGAGAAACCCTGCCTCGAAAAACCAAAAAAAAAAAAAAAATACAGTATAGAGCCCAACAGAGTTTCTTTTCAGTGATGGTGTAAATTCAGATCCTTCATGGGTGCAGAACATGACATAAACTGGTACTGAGTGAGACTTCAGCATCCACGTCACATGCCAGTCACCAAAATCGGTTGTGAAGAACGACGGCTTTCCTCATGAGCCTCTAGGCTTGTGGAGACAGGAGAGCTAGCCTCACCTCTCTGCCCTAGTGCAATGTTTAGGGGTAGTTATAGACTGAGGTGTGGGGGAAGATGATCGGAGCAAACGCTATTATGTTGCCATGGTAACCCTCGGGCGGAGGGGTTACCTATAGCTAACCAAGAGCAGGTGACTAAGAGTAGGTGGCACATGTTAAGTCTGGAGAAGCAGGTGACTCAGCAAAGGAAGTCTTGGGAGGTTAGCTAGGCTCCTGAACCAAGTGGAGCCATTATAAACGGTTCCTCTCAGCTCAAAAAAACGTGTGTGGTATACCCAAGCCAAGATGGAGTCCTTGTGATGGCCTTCAGTGAACTGGGCTGAAATACAGACCCAAAACATTTGGATGGTTGTCCCGCTTTAATTTTTAAATGAGATTCGGAGCAAGCTCATAGGGCTGCCAATGTTTCCCGGATGCCTCAGTCACATCTTACAGGTTGTCTAAGTTGCCAGCTGGAGGGTGAGGCTTCCAAGAACTAAAGGGTGACACAGGGAGAATGGCCTTAAGGACTTCACTTCTTGGTGATTTTCATGTCTCCAGTGTATTCTTTCATCACAGTTAGAACCTAAGACTCTGTAAAAGCATGGTTTCCCTCCCCACCTCCTCCCGCAAAGCCAGCCTGGCACTTAGTGCTAGAAATGCCTGGCACTTCATACATGAGGACAGAGGGACATATGGTCACTAACCTGAACCTGCAGGAGCGAGGTTTAGGCAGGGGTGGGGTGGGTGAGGGAGTAGGGGGTGTTGTTTTCTTTGCCCTCCTCTTGTCTAGTCTGTTTGAATTTTCTTCATGGATGTGAATTCCTTAATCCTCTAAAAAGCTAGGAGAAACCAAAAACTAAACAGAATGCCAGTTTTGGTTTTTTTAAAGGCTGTCTGTAGGACCTGTGGCGTGCAGCAGCTCCAGGCTGTAATTAAATCTTGCATCTTTGCGTTGCAGGAAACTTCAGACTAAAAAGGAAGAGGCTTTTAGCCACTTAGGTATTTTTTTTAAATCCTAACAGCTATCAGTGCTCTGTGGCTGGAATTTCAAATCCACTTAATGCAACTAGAATCCACAAACTCTCAGGTAACACAGAAGTAGGAAGAATGAAATGGGAGGTTTGGTGTCTTCTGTTAATTAATAGTGGCCCTGGGCAGGCTGGAGGAGCTCCTCTGTCTGGTTGGATGGTAACCCTGTAGGTCCTTTGTGATGCTGGGCCTGCTGCAGGCCTGGAAGCCTCCTCCAGAGGCTGAGTCAGGAGGACCTCAAGATCCAGGCCTTGCTTGGACCATTTAGTGAGCCGCCTTTAATCCCAGCGCTTGGGAGGCAAAGGCAGGCAGATCTCTGAGTTTGAGGCCAGCCTGCTCTACAGAGCGAGTTCCAGGAAAGCCAGGGCTACATAGTGAGACCCTGTCTCAAAAATTATAATAGAAAAGAAAAACTCATTTATTTCTTTTTGTTATTTTTTTGAGACAGGGTAGCCCTGACTGTTCTGGAACTAGTTTTGTAGACCAGGCTGGCCTCGAACTCACAAAGATGTGCCTGCCTCTGCCCTGCTATCCCTGCCTCTCCAGTGCTGGAATGAAAGGTGTGCGCCACTGCTGCCCAGCTAGAAAAAATTATTTTAATAAAATAATGAACAAGGCTTCTCTGACAGTTTGGAATGGTAGACATTATTGATCCCCTGTTTCTTGTCTTCATTAACTAAAACCCCTAAACTCCCTACATGTAACTGATCACAGCATCTGGTTTTTCAGACAGGCACGTGATGACTAAGACTGAGGAGTCAGAACAGGGTTTCTGTAATTCAGGAGTTATCTGACTCTTGTGCTCAGGTTTTCCCCCAGGACAGTGAGAATCTGCTAAATTCAGCCTGTTGCTCTGGCTTTAACCATGGTGGATAGAAGATTAAGATGCAGTCAGGACAGGATCCCCGCCCATCCTCCACTCCATGCTTCCCCAGGCAGG